TGAGAAAACGACAACTTTGCAGATTACGTCAAAGATCTGTAGGTTACCTTTGAAGAGTTTAACAGCAAACGGTTGTGTCAACGTGCCACGCCACCTTCGTACCATCTAAACCATAACTACAGCAGAAAAAACGTAATATTCGCAAAAAACACATGTTCACTACTGAAGAGATATGAACCACTCAAAATGAAAGAAAGGTTCAAACAAAAAGACAGCAACTGCAACAAAAACTAATTCGAGGAAAACAGTGGAGCAAATCTTGTAAGAGATGCGAATGGTACCGAGAAACTTAGATAGGGCGTCACACTAGAAACTAAACTAAAGGTCTAACTAGACTAACTTGTATGAAACATTTCATGAAGCAAAATTATTTGCGCTGATGTCATTTCAATTGCAGGTTACGTGAGTACACTAAATAATTGCTTTCCGCGCAAATTTTCTAAATTCTAAAATTGTTTGAAGCTTGCGTATTCCTGTTGCATGCTAGTTATTACAGTTTTGATTTTATGTTATTGCTTTGATTTTGATTTTCGAATTTCTAAAGCTATTTCAGTATTATCAAGGATTATGTCTCAACCCAACCATAAACCTGGGAACAAGCACAAAAGGTACGCCACACTCGTTTTTATTATGATAGTTTTCTAACCCTTGCAGTTCTCTTTTGAAATATTGTTGTGCAATGATTTCTTGATTTTTAGTCGTGGGCCTGATTTTATATGTAAGCCACGTTTTCGGAATACGCTTCCAGATGTTCCTTTTCCCGGAAAATTCCTTCCTTGTCCTTTCGTCGAATTAGAGCGGTATGTTATCTTCAAAATCAAATCTCTCACAATTTGGAAGTGGTAGTATATATTACTTCTAGATTTATTGATTACAAGCCCACGTCTTTGGAAATGGAGTACAAATATGAGGTGCAATGCGAAATGGACATTGGATTGAATCTAGATTTGATTGATCCGAACACATATAAGGTGGACTCCCATGCGGAAATCCAGGTGCTAGCTTCTTGTAATTATAATTCTTGTAACTGATGTAAATTTAGTTGATGAGTTTGAGTTTGAATTTAAAGCTAAAAACAATTTGCAATCATTCTGAACCTTCAGCTCAATGAGAAGGATGCTATACTGCTCGAAGACGAGGATTCAAATGCCAAGCAAATAAAAAGGTAACTGCGTCAAAAGTGTGCCATCTGTTTGTAGAAAGTAACAAGTTTTCTTGCTTTGCATTATACTTTTTTGGATTTAACAAATTTTAAGGTTTCACTTCTCAACAATCTCTTTCAGATCAGCTCAACATTCGAAAGTTGTACCGTGGATGCGGAAAACACAGTACATATCTTCAGAATTTAACCGATTTGGTGTGGCTGCCGATAGGTGCGTCTTTGAGGGTACTTCATCTGTTATCTATGTAATAACATTTATGCATACAGGCAAGAGATCAAGGTTGGCTACCACCTTACCAAAAACAAGGAAAATCTGAATCTTTTCCGTGATCGTCAAAGTCAGATTGATTCGATAAAGAAATCATTCGAAGATGTAAGTATTTAGTTTTTCCTGATCAGTTGCAAAGCTTATGTTTTAACGTTGAATTAAGAGAACCGTTTTAGTGTAAAGTACCAATTCGTAAACATTTTTCGAAGAAAGGAGTCACAGCTATCGAAGAAGTACCTATACTACCTGATTTTGAGGTACTTACGTTGTCCTATTCGATTACCTAATTATATTTAAAATAGTCTGCTTTTCCGGTTTTTATTGCACCACATGCCTTCCGCAGGGATATTTAAATTTTAGCTTTGGAAGTATCCATTCGCGTTAGTTCAGTTCGACGCAGATCCGGCTCCAGCAGGTTATCCTCCTGATCTTTGCGAAAGCATGGTCACACAAAGTCACATCAAGTGAGCCTACTGTTCCCACTGCAAAATGTGGATAACATTGTCTCGTTTAAGGGGTATGCAAGATGATGATGGGGAACAGTTTGTTGCGTACTTCGTGCCCACAGTTGAAACTCTACAAAAGAAATTAACCGATAGGGAAGAAGGCAAAAATTATACTGAGGGTGGAGTGTAAGTTTTTTTTTAAACATTTACTACCAAATTCTAAAAGTTTCATTATATCACCCGGTTTTTCATAATGCAGGTTTATTTTCTTATTTCCTTTCAAATTGTTTTCATTCTATCTCCTCCATCCCATCTTTTCAGGTATGAGCATGTGCTGAATCGAGAGTATACTTGGACGGTGAAAAACAAAAACACCAAAGGTTTTGAGAGAGACAACTACTTTATTTATTATAAGGATGGTGGTTTTCACTACAATGAACTTGAAACCAAGGTGCGACTAGCTCGACGACGACGTGCTGGTCACGAGAAAGTAAGGAATTCAATTTAGAAAATTTTTTGTTATCCAAATTCTTAATTAGGAAATCATCACGCCTTTTTGATTTGTTTTAATTCAAGGATCATGACATCGCAGTTAGAAATGTTTATCACTTACTGCGATGATGCACTTTTTATACACGTCTCGCCTGTTGGGGTTCCATATTTTTCACTTCTCTGACATGGTCATACAATGTTAGATCAATCATTTGTTTTCTATTTTCAGCCGAATACGCAATTACATGTTACGTACACAGAACCAACAGAAGCTGAGATACAAACAATGACAAATAGAATGAACTCTTTGTTGAAAAGCTACGATTCAGATGATGAAGAAGGTTAGTGCTGGAAATACAGAGCATATTCCATATATAATTTCTATAGTCATCTCTTCCTCTTAGATAAAAAATCAGAAAAGTCGGAAAGTAATGAAGGTTCTCCCAACGAAGGAAAAGTAGACGAATCAAATAGCGAAAAGGTAAATTTTTCTCTGCAAATTTATGCATCCTTTTTCTATTAATTTTTATTGTGCTAGTATGTTCCGTAGAAATGTTGTTGATTGTTAGCTGATGCCAAAGAAATTCTTGTTACAAAGTTAATTCAAGTACTGCCAAGTGATTTGGTAAAACAAGATATTCATTTGATCTTCGAACCACGAAATTGAAAAACAATAAACTTTAGAAAAGAACCAAGAAGGCAATTTTCTTGACGATCGTCTGTTTTTTCCCCACTCGTTCGCAATATATGTATCGGCCACGATCAACTCATCATGCAGTGTTAATTTAAGGAAGGAAGCACCGACAACGAAAAAGATGGTGCTAGTGACGATGATGATAGCGATGATGAAAAGAAGAAAAGTGAAAGCGAAAAGGGTAGCACAGACGAAAGCGATTGAAGGTAGATCTGTTTTTGAACATAGAATATAAAAGCGATTTATGGTTTACAAGGAATTGGAGCAAAAAATATTCTGATATGTTAGTGCAAGATCCATTATCTATTCTTCTCATTTTTTTCCAGTTTGTTCTATTATTGTGGTTATAGTCTTAATGGCCTTGTTCTTGTACACTTGTTCGGGAGCATCATTCGTTGTGTTCTGATTGTAGGATCCTCATTTAGGTATTTCAGAGCTTTTTTAGGGCTCAGTTTGAAAACGCAAGTTGCTTACCTTCGCTAGAACGATCACTACTTTATCAGGTTTTACGGGAGCGGCACTTCGATATATCGCTACATCCACTGACTTTCCAGGTTCAATATTCTGATAAACCGGATCAATTCTGAAATATATTAATGCATTTTTGTTTATTCATAGCAGCGCACCTGAAGAGCTCATTGTCGGAACATTTGATTTTCATGGCCACTTTTGTATCTGTTACATTCTTGACGGTAACAGTCTAAACTTATCTTATTCATTGTTTATAAATTTCCTGCTTTTGCATCTACCTCTTTGCCACCATTATCGTCCCAAGCACATTGCATTTTGCTGAATGAAGCGAGGATTTCTGAATTTTAAGAGTTTATTAATGAAGTTTAGCATAGGAGAAACAAATGTTCACCTTCGCCAGCTTTTTGAGGGAGTGATGCATCTGAAAATTCAGTTGGATTGCTGAAAGCATTTTCCAAACCATGCAATGCAGTGCACTCACCTGCTATCTTCTCTGGCGTCTGCTGCTTCACTTCTGCAACAGATTACTTGAATAAAGGGGTTGTTGTCTTTTATTTTGTTGATACTTCCTTAATAGGAAGGTTTCATACCTGTTTCCTTCTCTCCCTTTTGCTCATTCACTTCTGCAACAGAGTCAATCAGTCAAGTCATTGTTTTCTTTTATAAAATCCTGTTTATTCTGGTGCGCAAAGACATGTTTTTGTGCATGTGCGCGTTTATGCAAAAGTGGCTACGCGCTTGCTTGCGAAGATCTTGACTGGTAGGGAAGTATGAAAAAGAAGTATGAACAAAAAATTCCTGTGTATTGCACAAATGCATGCTATATCTTATTTCTCATCTTTTACAGCTTCTTTTCCTGTTTGTCGGATTATCGTTGTTGAACATCTGAGGCTCTTATTCTCGAACACTTTCTCAGCAGCGTCATCAGTGGTGTTCTGAATGAAAGTATTTTGATCACTCAATACTTTGTTTATTAGAAAAAAAGATTCCGCTATCAACCTCCAACTATCAGTATCAGTACTCGCCTTTGTAAGTACGACCACGATTCTATCGGCCTTAATCGGGCCTTCACTACGATATATGCCGAGATCTACTGACTTTCCAACTTCAATGTTCGCATATACTGGGCGGACTCTAAAACGTATTAGTTTATCCTTGTTCGACTGGTAAATGGCTCACCTGAAAAGATTATTGTCGGAAGATTTTATTTTCATGGCCAGTTTTGTATCTGTGGTGTTAGTGATAACTACGGTCTGTAGAAGATTTATGTTTTATATGGTTAATTTGTGTATGACCATTTAGTTCTAAGTCCTACCTCTTCGCCGCCCTTTTCATCCCACTCGCACTGCATCTTGCTAAATGAAGCAAGTACTTCTAAAATTTGGGGTGCATTTTTGGTTCCGTGCAATATTCAAAATTGCGTTACCTTCACCCTCCTTGGCGACGCCTGCTTCTGAATTTTTTTGAAAAAAAAAAAAACAAAGCACAACACTTCTCCTTAGCTCTTACCTGATTTCTTTTCCGCTTCCTTCTCTTTTTCTTCTAAAAATGCTTTAAAGAAAATTCAACATCCATTTAAAATGTATTTTATCAGTTTTTTTCTGCATTTTTTTTTGTTCTTTTTCTTTTAAAAAGAATTTTGTATGAACTTTGTCTATTATTTGAGCAGAACTATCTCGAGGGTTTCTTTAATGTTCTTCCATATTCAATTAATAGCATATTTCTATACGTTTGGATCTTCTACAAGCTCTAAATTCTGTGCATGAAAGCTGGTGCAGCCTTCCGTGTATTTTTTTCGTGATACACTGTTTTGGACTTCATTTCTACTTGGTTTGCACCTAAAACATCACATCATCTTCTACCTGCGGGTGGTTCCTCCTTTGAAGGCTCTTGCGTGGGATCCTGCTGCAGTTCTGGCTGTGGCTCCTCCTCTTTTTGAACCTCCTTAAATATCACGATACAAGCCAGGGCTATGTAGATTTTCTGCTTACATCTTCAGCTTCGGCGACTTGAGTTGGATCCGTTTTCACTACTTTTTCTTCAACTTTCTAAGTAGAACACCATAAGATAAATTTGCCTGTAAATGTAGAATATCTAACTCATACTTCTTCCTTCTTGGTCTCCTTCTTTTCTTCCAAACCCTTGGGAGAACGCTAAAAAATTGTATTTGGATAGTTTTTTT